TGGAGCTGGAGCCATAGACAGCTGTGAGCTGCCATGTAGGTGCTGGGAATTGAACCTGGGTCCTCTGGAAGAACAACCAGTGTGCTTAAGTGCTGAGCCATCTCTCCAGCCCTGAGACTTTCTCAAGGTCGGGCAGAATAATAAATTCCAGAATTGAGTATGACTCCAGGCGTAGGTGCCTGTCCTGGAATAGGGCACTAAGGACGCTAAGACTTGATCTCAGTTGTAGACTTGGTTGGGGGATTTTGCTGGCTCTCCAAAAAGAAATTTGGGATTGTGGCCACATTCGTACCCTATTCTGGTCACTAAGGTGGGACCCAGAAATCCTAAAACCTTTCTTAAAGAAAAGCCTAGGAAACCCGGGGAGATTCAGGGGCCCTTGCAGCCTGGGTCTCTGGCCAACACCAGAGGGTGCTGACACCCTCTGGAACCAGCCAGGAAGTGTTGGGCACTCTCGTTGAGCCCACTAGAGGGCACTGGCAGGGACTGGCTGTCAGTCATTGGTCGAGCCAGGAGCCGGGTGCAGTTCCTCCAGAAGAGGATCACCACGGGCAGCTGTTGAGGACATGGGCACCAGAGCTGCCCAGCATGTCTTCTGGAGAAACCGTCCATCTCCTGGCTCCCTGACAGCTTTTGGCCTAGAGTAAGTTGCTTTGCCTCCCCGAGCCTCCGTTTTCTCATCTGCAAACTTGAGCTGCTATGATTTGGGGTTGTAGAGTAGCCATGAACCTTCCCAACACTGCGAGGGACCCCCTAATACAGTTCCTCATGTTGTGGAAACACCCAACCATAAAGTTATTTTCGTTACCACTTCATGACTGTAGTTTTGCTACTGTTATGAGTTGTACTGTAAATATCTGTGTTTTCCAATAGTCTCAGGTGACCCCTGTAGAAGGTTGGTTTGACTTCAAGGGGTCACGACTTACAAGTTCTAGAATGTCTAAAATACTGTATGGCATTTTAAGGAATAGAATTGTGGTAAAAACCACCATGTGTCTAGACCAGAGAAAACCTTTTAGAAGTGTGTTTGAGTGCGTGTGCGCGTGTGGGCGCGCGCACACGCACACACACACACACACACACACAGATTTTTGTGTGTTTTGTTTTGAGACAGGGCTTCTCTATGTAACAGCTCTGGCTGTCCCGGAACTCACTTTGTAGACCAGGCTGACCTCAAACTCACAGAGATCCACCTGCCTCTGCCTCTGCCTCCCAAGTACTGGGCTCAAAAGCATGCACACCACCACCACTACCACCCCACCTGGCCCCCATAGAGAGATTCTTCATGGTTGCTTCCTGGTGAAGGCTGATTATCCCAGACAGTCAAACATGATAGTCACATATTAATCTATATGCTCACAACCCCAGGGGACTATTGTGAGGGTGTGTGTCACACAGATATCATGTACAACACTGAATACAAAGTGAGGCCATGCAGAGTATGGAGCTGGGAGATCTAATTTGATCTAGAATGTCCAAGGTCTGCCCCCTCAAAGCTCTGTCTGCACTCAGAAAGTAAGATGGGGAAAGAACAGAAACTTGGAGGATAAAAAAGGAAGAAGTAGGCTACAGTGGGAAATACTGCACCTTGGGCGCAGGGACCCAGGGAGAGAGGCTCTGTCTCGGGTTCTGTCATTCTCTCACCTTCTAAATTGAGTTGGCTGGTCCCTTCCAGCTTTGACACTCCTCCTTCAGAGGGTAAGGTAAGCAGGAGAGAACCCCACAGGAATCAGAAATGTGGGACAGAGCCCACAGCTCCAGGTCATGTCTCCAGGTGTGCATTCTTTCATCAAATACAAGCCAAGCATCCCCAATGTGCTGACTATTTAAGACACTGGGAGAAAGCTGGACAGATGGACCAGACAGAATTTGGAACCTGAGGAGAGGTGGACTTTGGCAATTTCTAGCTGAGGTTGGCTGAATCTAGAGTGTACAACAAATTACAAGTGATCTCGGGACTGCATCTAACCTAATGACACGTTTGTCCTTAGAGCCCTTCTGTGAGAGGTTCCCCAAGTGAGACGGGCTGTAAGACATACCTGTGCCAAGCCCGAATCCACGGTAGCCCCTGGGGCGAGGGTGGGGCTGAGTTTCCAGTTACTGTATGTGGATGGGTTTCTAGTTACTCTATGTGAGCTAATCTATATTGCTCCCCAAGAACTCACTCTCAGGATGGTCCATGGGGGACTTTCAGTACCTTTCCTCAGGGAATGGAAAATACATATGAACTATTGGGTGAATCATGTATATGTATAACTTTAATTATTTATGTTTATAACTTGAAACCCTAGAATTACAAACAAGTATTGGATTTTCCTTATTTCAAAGACATTCTTCACAAAAACAATTCCCTTTGGGACACATCTAGAAAAAGGTAAAAGATTTTTGTGTTCTTAAAGAAACCAGAATACTGAACACATTTAGGTTAAAAAAAATACTTGAGGACCTCTTCTCTACCGGGGACAGAAGCTCTCCCCGCACATCTGTCTGGAGGTGAATTCCAGTCATACTACATTACAACAGTCCCTTGGCTCATTTGCCAGCGTGCAAGTGGCCACTGGTCAGTCTGTTCATCTAAAGGGTGGTTTAGCAGTGAGCAGCTAAGTTGATCTAGAAGTCAAGTTCTGCCCTAGTCAAGCTGTTTGCATGGGAAAGGAGGCAGAGGATGTCAGAACACCCAGGAAAAAGCACTGCAGGGTCGTTGCTATAGTTACTGTGGGGCTTGGAGGAGTGACATAACCCTGCTGTGCCTCCGTTTCCTCATGTATAAACAAAGGGTTAACTCACAAGGTGATTCTGAGAACAGGAGGAGACCTCTCTGTCTCTCTCTCTGTCTCTCTGTCTCTGTCTGTCTCTGTCTCTCTGTCTCTCTCTCTCTCTCTCTCTCTCTCTCTCTCTCTCTCTCTCTCACACACACACACACACACACACACACACACACACACACCCTGACACATAGTGGAAAGTCTCACTGCTATTACCTCCCCAGGGCTGACTTTGTGTTATACCATGAGATAGTGTACCCAAGGATTGTCAATGCTAGTCGATGAATGGCAGTGCCAAGCCACAATCTAAAACTGTAGTTAGAACCAAACCTGGTTTCTCTGCCCTGGCTTCAGCCTGCCAGACAATCTTGCTGTTTCCTTAGGTGAGATATTTCAATAATCAACAGGGGGGTGCATAAGCAGTAATAAGAGATGTGACGGCTGAACCCCTCTAAGTATTGGCCTCTTCCAAAAAGTTCTACATCATCCCATTCCTAAAGGAGAGTCTGATGGGGGGTGGTGTTGGGGTAGGAGGGGTGCAGACCTGACTGCAGCTGAGAGGTACTGTAAGCATAGACACACCTAACATCTCTCAGCCATCCAGAAACTCCACAGTTATGATCACATCATCATCATCATCATCATCATCATCATCATCACTATAGCTAATCAGTTTTACAATCTTACATAAGAGTGAACAGAAAGTTTGTTTTAAGCTCCATGTTCACTAAAATGACTAAGGTTAGAGACAAATAAACCCAAAATGCTAAGTAGTGAGGGCCATGTGGTGCTTCTGGTAGAGGGCATGTAAATTGGTACAACTCACTATAGAAAAATTTGTGATAGCAGGCATGATAGGACATGTCTGTAATCCAGTATTCAGGAGGCTGAGGTGGGAAGATCTTGAGTATGAAGCTGGTTTACACAACAGGGCTCACTCTCAAAAGAAAAGAAAGAAAGAAAGAAAGAAAGAAAGAAAGAAAGAAAGAAAGAAAGAAAGAAAGAAAGAAAGAAAGGAAGGAAGGAAGAAAGAAAGAAAAAGCAAGCAGGCTTGGGTAATGAATGGAAAAAGAAGGAAAGGGAAGGACATGGCTGCTCCAAGGCGTGGTGGAAGAGACAGTTTCTTGTAGACTTGTGGGAGATCTTAGCCAGGGCAGAGACATCTGGGAGAGTCCAGAGTGGACTTGACCAGACTGAGCTGGACCA